TGGGCCTATTAACCGTGGGCTTAATAACTGGCGACTACTGTAACTGGATTGAACATAAAGCTAGCTAAAGCTACAACTTTAGTTAAAGTAATAAAATAGACAATACACTAAGCTTAAACTTAAACTAACAAAGCTAAAAGTACCCACAGAAAGCTAAAGATTTTCGAGTTTTTTAATGTAGCAGGGAGCATACCTACGCCTAGTAAATTACACCTAGTATATATGTATAGCAGAGAGGGATGACAGCGTTTGGGGGCAACTTGATACAGAACTGTTTCGGGCTTATTCGCCTTCATTCAGCCAAGCATAACCTTGAACACCAGCTGGCTCGGACAAAACAAACATGCGCACTCACAGATAGCGCAGCTGGTCCACCACTGGAGTCTACCAGAGGGGTCGGAAGCACTTCACCGTACCGCAGTTCATCAATGTCTCACCACCTGTCATTTGCTGTCACTGCAGACCGCGTATACATTCACTCAGGAATGTCCGAACGTTCGGAAGCCTATTGGATCGGTGTTCGGACATTCGTGAAGGACATCGGCATATGAGAATGTCCCCAAAAGAGTTTTAAATTATGGCAGGATATCGAGTTTCCTTATCAAGATTTTATTGCGCTTTGTTGTCTTTAATGCCCTTATGTTTAAGGAAGCCATAACATCAAATGAAAAGCCATGTAATCCGTACTCAATGCATACCGACCTATCGGCTTTACGAAGCAAATGAGCTTCCTTTGGATGGCAGGGATCACGAAAGAACTACCAGACCGAAGTTGGCTAACTTGTAATTGCAGAGAGGGGGGAGGACGCAAAATGCAAGTAGAGTGCTTCAGTCTGTTTTGTGCTCATTCTGTGTTCATTCATCCAATCATAACCCCCAGGGCAGATCGGAACGAGCGCGTTCTGTTAGTGATCGCTGAAAGTTGACCAACGAATTCCTATAATGTTTGTAGCTAGCACTCACAGGCCTGTGAGTGTGCGATCAGCGTCGGCCAGCGATATGTAAATGCCCTGCTACTGGCTGTATTTAGCAGTAATAAGACGAATGGAAAAGAAATGCGCCTTCAGTATGTCATCACAGTGTAGAATTCCGTCTTCACACTGAAGAAGTAAATCGTTGACCGTCATCGGGAGGGCTAGTATATTTTCTCGACCGAATCAAGTTGCAAATGTTCAAAACCAAACGCAATCGAAATAATCTGCCATGGAAACAGTCAAATGGAGGAAAATATTCCACTTATAAGGAGAAATGATTTTAAGGGCTAAAATCTTATGACATGACACAAATAAAAGTGCATAAACGAACTGGGAAAGGCAGTGAGTGAAATATTAGTATTGGCCGATGGTTTAACACGTAGGCGAGGGCTTCTCCTCAGGGGAATGTCCATGTCGGTCTGCTGAAGTAAAAGATTAAGGCATCAAAACGTTGTCCTCCCCTCAAATGCACATTTCTCCGCTTTCTTCTTCCTCTTTGCTTACTACAGCCGATGACACCATCGAGATCCGCGAGGTAGTCCAGCCCAACGCCGGTCGAGACTCAGCCTCCTGTTTTCTGCGAAGGCAAAAACTGCCAAAAGGTGTCGTCGATATGCCCCTACCGGGAGCCGTTACAGATAAAACTCTGCTCAATACCTCAGCCACCTCACCGGATAACAGAGTCTATCTGGTAGACAGTCTGAAGGTACGTTTTTTGACTCATGCCAAAGAGCTAAAGGTCTGTCCAGAAGACCTCACTTGTCTCTGATGATGGTTCCGAGTGTGAATCCTAACCATTAAATGAATAAACGTATTATTGCCGCTCCTTCCTAAGTTTCATTTCTTTCAGTACCCTAGTGCTTGCATGCCGGCGCGTTATAAACATCCGTGCACGTATTCCGAAAAATATCACTAATACGATGGTACTCACAGCGTGTAAGTAGCATTGTTCTTAAAACTGACTCTCCTGTCTGGAGTTGACGTGGGGGCTTTGTTCGGATTCAGATTGTCGAGGGAAAGCAAGAGACACATATAGCCATTTTGACCAAAATTATGAAAACTTGGTGAAAATGTCCTCAAAGCCCAGCCCTTGTTCAACACTCTGTGTTAACGTGTAAACTAAGATAACATCGCCTGGCCACTTGTAACTTATTATTGCATTTTCTTCCTAAGATTCATTTTATTCAGTAATTTGCACTTGAAATGGGAAAGAGGGGGTTTGTCGGAAAAGCTGATATGATCGTATTCCACCTTACAATGAGGTGGTATTGGTAAAATGCTATCCCATATAAGTGAGCAGTCGGCAAATGTGGTTTACCTCTCAACCCCATATTAGCGGATGGAAACGTTTCCTCTACATTTATATCTTAATCTGCGAAAAAATTCGAGGTTCAGATAAAATATTCCTTTCATCATCCCCGGAAGAGGAAGAAGAAGAAGGTGCGATTTCTGGGACCGAGGTGTATTTTGGCTGACGTTTCAAAAGCGTGCTCGC